CTGTTCACACCCGCAGCCTCCGGAGCGCGACGTGTGCGTCCCTAGCCTATGTCTTTTCCTAAGGAGCCTCCACACTTCGGAGACGCGATGACAAGTTAATATGGGCGTCCACGCCTCGGTTTCCCAGGAGAAGAATTGCCAGAGGCGGTAGTCCCTGAGCTTCTGAACAGGCCGCCCGCTGCGACATCCGCACAGGTGGGACCTGCTGAGGGCAGTGACCAGCCCGCCACCCCGCAGGCGCGCTCGCAGGATTTCCCCAGCTCCCCAGCCCGGGGATTTTGTTTTTTTATTTTTTTCCTCCACTGTTGGTGGGCGCCTCGCGGGCCGAAGCCCGGCGCCTGCTCGGCTGCCCGCGCTGCCTTTAGCGGTCGCCTCCGCAGCCGCTGCCAGGGACGTGCTGGGAAAGCCGAAGCCCCGGGAGAAGATGCCGGCCATCCTGGTAGCCTCCAAAATGAAGTCGGGACTGCCCAAACCGGTGCACAGCGCCGCGCCCATCCTGCACGTGCCCCCGGCCCGGACTGGTCCCCAGCCCTGCTACCTTAAGTTGGGAAGCAAGGTGGAGGTGAGCAAGACGGCCTACACTAGCCAGATCCCCCTGAAATCGCAGGGGCTGCAGGAGCCAACGGGGGAGGGGCTCCCGTTGCGGAAAAGCAGCTCTCTGGAGAACGGGTTCGATACCCAGGTGAGCAGTGCTGTGTGCTGGGGTGGTGGTGGGGGCACTGTTGGGGTTGTGGTGGTGATGGGTGATTTTTCCTGGGGGAGAGACACGGATGCCTGGAGAGGCTACTATAATGTACTTGGAGAGAGGAAGCATACCCTTTTAGCTGGCAGATTGGAAGGTGGGTGTGGCCAGAGTGCCAGAGGTTCGCCCAAGGAGCTCCACAAAGCTGAGGGGTGCTGGTAGCCTGCTGTTTCTTTGGGGTTGGAGCAGGTGTAGAGGTGGTATCAAAAAGCGCACGCTGACATTGGAAATGTTAGGACCTGAATGCTGAGTACTTGACCCCAAGGAAGCCGTGTCTGTGCTGGGATGTGTGTCTATGTCAGTGCCTTGGGTTGTAACCCGTTGAAGGAATGGTCTGGTGCCTCTTTGGATTGGATACTACCTGGCCCAGCTATGAGATCCAGGACAAGGGATGCTGGGTGGTTGCTCTGAACCTGCCCTCCTCCTAGCTTGAAGATGGCTTGCTCCTGTCCCTGTCCCATCTTTAGGGAGAAGGGATTCTGACCAGGTGCTGCTGACTGCTAGCTTGCTGGAGCATCTTGCTGTTGCCGTAGGGGTGGCTTGGTTGTCTCAGAATGGCTGCCCAAGCTGAGCCCCTCCTTATGCTGTCAGTGTTGGTGGCTCTGGTGATTAGGGAGATGTTGGTGTGGGTGAGAGAATGCCTGGAAGAGAAACGGTGACTTCTACCTTTCCGGGCAGAGCAGGCACCACCCCCACCCACCCTCCACTGGGCTGGGTGACAGGCCTTGGCCATGCAATCTCTTTTAAGGAAATCCTTAAGGGCCAATCAGTTTCTCTTGGACTTCTGCCTTCCTCCTCTTCTGGCAGGAGGGAGCAGGGGCATGCTGTATTTTCTTGGCTGCCAGTCAGCAGGGACTTTTTAGGGACAGGCCGACCTGACGGATGTGACTGTCCCAGTCAGGAGAGGAGAGGCTTCGGGAAGCCAGAGAGGGAGGCAATTTGGGGTTGGTATGGGAGAAGTAGCCACAGACAAGCTGACCTTTAGAGCACCTACTACTCTGCTCACAGAGACTACCTTCTGTAGCTTTCTCTGATCGGCGGTTAACACTCAACACATTCCTTGCTTTCTGATGGAGGACTGGAGCTAGAAGCTGGTTGGAGACAGACTGTTGGAACTCAGGGCCAGAAAAGGCCCTCCCCACACAGGCTCCCACACCCGGCCCATCATCATGTCCCTCTTGATGCCGCACTTGCTAAACATTTTTGGAAGCTGACAGCTTTGACTGATGGTGTGTGGGAGGGAGGCAAGATTTCCTTCAGTGCTCCTGGGCCCTGGCTCTGCTAGGCTGTGTGCTCTGCTCTTTTTCTTATGGCTACAGGACTTGTCCAGAGGGCTCTAAAGTGAGGGTGAGCACTGGGGTGCCTCCTTCATCTGTGGGGGTGGAGTGGGTGGGATTTTGGAACAGTGACTGAGAATGTGACACATGCCCTGGAGCCTGATGAGGAGGACCCTAGGAATGAACGGAAAGGCAGATGTTGGCTCATTCAAAGCCAGACTGCTGCCTGCTATTGCCCATTTGACCCTTCATTTAACAAACATTGGCAGAGGATTGCGGTGGGCAGGCTCTGGGAAGGTGATTCACCATTTAAAAAAATTACTCCTAGATTTCTCCATGAGGGGCTAATTTGGCGCTATTCCCTGGAGGCCCTGCCCGCACCACCCCACATTTCATCCCTCTTACTCTCCATGGGTCCTCTGCATCATGAGGGTGATTTGGATAGATGGCCCAGGAAACTGGCCACCTTCCAACAAACAGTCCTGCTTCCCCCCTTGCCAGCCCCTGGGTCTCCTAGGGGCTCTTCTATGTAACAGGCACTCATAGCCCCACCCTGACATCAAAGGGGCTTTGGCAAAAGGATTTCACCATCTTTGAACAGGGTATCCCCATGGTGACAGACATTGCTCATTCACCTTCCAGAAAAGTCCCTCGATTATGGCTTGAGGACCTTGACTGACTTGGCACCTGGTAATTTCCTGGTCCCAAACTTAATGTTTATCATTAGAAGACACTCAGGAAATGATAAACTCAGTGACAAATGATATCTTGGAGCCGTTGGTTGGGGGATTTTTGGCAGAAGACTGGCTTGGTTGTTTAGTGACTAACAGCACAGGTTTTAAAGCATTGGCTATCAGTGCTGCCTTCTATCTAACATGACATGCTGGCCAAGTGGCCCAGTCCTTTAACTACTCCCCTGGGCCTCAGTGCTTTCATTTGTAAAAATGGGTACAAGCAGCCACAGGAATTGTGAGTATTAAGAAAAATTTTGTATTCCAAACTGTTCACAAGTGTTTACAGGCCTCTGGCTCTGCCTGGCACAGTTCCAGGCTCTGTGGGAGGATGGGGGGAGGGGGAGGGATTGACCTGTGGAATGCCTGATGTGTGTTAGGCTCTTTCCATAGGATCTCACTGGTCTTCACAGGAACACTTAGAGTAGGTGTGGTGCTTTGGCCATGTCCTAAGATATCAAGAAAGTAAAGAAGGCACCCTTGCCTTGTACTTCCTAGGTGCCAGGAATTGTTCTGAATTGTTTTGAATACAAAACTCCTTATGCACTGGGCATTGGTGGCTCATGCCTTTAATCCCAGCACTCGGGAGGCAGAGGCAGGCGGATGTCTGTGAGTTCGAGGCCAGCCTGGTCTCCAGAGTGAGTGCCAGGATAGGCTCCAAAGCTACACGGAGAAACCCTGTCTCGAAAAAAAAAAAAAAAAAAAAAAAAAACCCTCTTATTCGATAAGGATAATCATCCCATTTTATACATATGATAAATCAAGGTTAAATGGTCTCGGGAGCAGCAGAGTTAGTAGCATTAGAACTCAAGCCCCTTAACTGTGTTGCTGGACAGGGAGAGCCACAGCAGCTGCTGGCCAATTATAGACCTTGAGTTATCAGACCATAGATGGCACCACTGACCCATATTGTCCAGTGTGGCAGAACGGGAATCCCAGCTCAGGTGCTTGTCCAGTGACATGCCCACTGTCCATCACCACTGGTGCTGTGGCAGAGCTGAGGACAAATAAGGCCTGGTCTTGGGAATGATATATCCCAGGTAGAAGGCATGACTTCTGCATCCAGCAGAGGGCAACACTGGGAGAGCTAGAAATGTATTGAGGCTGAGGAGTCAAGATGCTGGAAGTAAGACTAGTACCTCAAGGGCTGGAAAGGACCATGGGGGCTCACAGGGGAGGCAGGCAGGAGATGAGCTGGGCCTCAGGTGTGGGCAGGAGTGCCTAGTGGGGAGGAGAGAGGGAGGCCAATGAGAACAAAGGTTAAGCTGCCCTGCAGTGGTGCAGACCCCAAGTGGATGCTCTTCTGTGCGTGTTCTAGATTGGGTGCTTTCCATTTCACGTCAGGGTATGAGGAAGAGCAGAGGCTCAGCTGTCACAGTACTGGATGCTCGTGCTGGCTTCTAGTGGACAGTAACTGCATATAGGCCAGTGGCAAGAAAATGGGGAGATGGTGTCTGCTACAGAACCTGGCTCTTAGGAAGAACAACAATGAGTGCTGTTAGCTTGGGTTTCAGAGTGTTTGACATGGTCATTATAGGACAAAACTTTGCTGTTTTCTTTTTTGATTACTGGGTCTTTCACTCACTATGTAGATCAGGCTAGCCTTGAACTCGAAGAGATCCACCTACCCCTGCCTCTCAAGTGCTGGGATTAAAGGTTTTTGCCACCACACCCGGCTTCATTCCTATTTTCTTACCTAGTAATTCCATTTACTTCATGAGTTTTCACTCATCTTCCCCACCCCATGCATGAGCTCCTTGCAAGTCAATAGCTATTAGAGGCCAGCCACTGTTGTCAACCTCCGACTCTTCTCCTGGAGTCCCCTACAGGTCTGCAGTTCCCTCTCAGCCTCCGGCAGTACCTACTCTGCCTCATTCAGGTCCTTGACCCCCTTTCTGCTACTGTGCTACCTGGGCCTCCCCGAGAGGGACCATTTTTAATATCTGTTCCAGTCTCTCATGTGTTATGAACTATGACCATGTGTAAGTAATCATTTTAGATACATGCTCTGTGTTAGTGTGCAAGCCTGTGGTCAACAGTCAGATAAAGGAACATTCTTGGGCTATCTGAGGATGAGGTTAGCCTAGTTTTTTAGAAGCAGTTGCAAGAGGAAGAGATGATTCACATAATACTTTGATATTTCCTGTTTTTAGGAGCTAGTGTTCAGCCTGCAACTTATTTCTTTAAAAAAATAATTAGAAGTGATTGAAATCCTGTGTGAGCATTTTAGATGTTTAAGAAGAAAGTGTGGGTGAGGCCCCTGGAAAGAGCCAGCTCCGAGCTTACAACCTGTTGCAGCTTTGCCCTATACTGTGTTTTGATTAGAATCTTTGCTCCGTCATCAGAGTTGATTATGGATTTGATTAGTGTGTTTTTCTGCCATTGTGTTATTCCCTTTCTTCTCTTTCTCAGTTCTTGGAGGGGAACTCACATTGTGGTTATCTGCCAACATGCCAGAATGTTTATGGTTCCCATATTATTGCCTATTCCCTGGGTTAATTCTCTAGAGACACTTTAAAGGTAGAATCAGGGGCTTATTTGGGCTCTCATTCCATGTGTAAACATCTTCGTATAAATACGCCTACATCGATACACACATACACAGCTCTCTACACATGGAAAAGCTTCAAGTACTGAGCACATGTAATCACATACATACATCAAAGGGGAGGCTGGGGGAGCTATAGCCCAAACTTTAGCTTTGATAATAGCTGGGTTTACATTTCACTTTTCACACTTTCTCCTTGACCAAGATTTGAAGCACCGTCTCCCTGCTCATTTTTATTTAGTTACACGATAGGAAGGCTGCAGCCTCATGAGGGGCGTCTTACTCAGACCTCTGTGAATCCAGAACATTTGCTGGCTGCCTGGTCATCTGTGCTACTCCTTATACCTTTAACACTTAATCTGAGACACAAGAAACTGGGAAAAT